AACGTCTGGCCAGACTTTCCCGTCGACTCCCTTTAGTTGGTCCATTATCGCTTGTCGTTTAGGCTGTTTCGCTGAGGCGAGTCCGTTCACATTCAATGAGCGAAGGTCAAGGTCAGCCTGTCGTGTACATAGTTTCCAAGTTTTGTCTTTACCATACAAGGCATCAACCACATTCATCTTGTTATGACTTCCTTGACTATCCTTGTGCCCTTACAGGGGCAGCCAACTCCCTGTGTCCAGAAGGTTGCCTTTCTGCAGTATATCGTTTCTGAGAATTTTCACCAAGAAGTCTTCTATTTCCTTCGCAGACCAGGGGTCACCCGCCGTTATTTTTAAGAGTTGCAGGTCTTTAAGTCCCTCTTGGTCCAACCACCGGAACTCCTCTGATTTGAGGTGGTCGTATCGCAGGTATATGTCTTTAGACCCCAGCCTCTCTTGCCCCCGGGTGAGGACCAGGGCTGCGGAAGCCCCTGCCGGGAGGCGGTTTTGACTCAGCTGGTGGATGTCCGCCTTTCCGAGCAGCAGACAACCTTTAAGGTATGAGGCAACCACGATCACTTCCTCGTTGGGCAACGTGATCTTGGTCCTCACCCACGTTGGCACTGTCCTCAACCAACCTTTGAGGTTCTCCTCCTTCTTGTCCCCTGAAGGTTTCAGGAGGCGGCAACGGGGTCTTTGGGAACCATTGTTGCTGTGGTCCAGCCTGGACCTGTTGCTGCACAGGTTGCTGGAGGGCTGCTGCCCTACAGCTGCAACAGCTGGACCTGAAGATGAAGAAGCAGCAGTCTGTGCACTTGCTGTTGACGTAGCACTAGGTGGAACACCAAACTGGGGGACGGAAGGGCTTGACATCGCTGAATACCGAGGCGGCAATGGGAAAACTGCTTCCGCCCTGACACTTGGCCTCCCCGTTGTGGATGAGACTGGTCTCCCCATCCCCTGCATGGCACTAAGTACATGCTCAACATACCCGCCTTGATCACCTTGCCTGTGCCGTCAAGGGTCAAGTCATCTAACTCATCTAATGCAACTTTGTCCTGTGCCCTACTCTCTAGTCTAGCTTGCTAAAGTTTTGCTCTATTGCTCTGATGGTAGCGTCTTGAGTTCTTTCTCTAACTGTAAGTGGATGTTCTCTGCTTGCTGAGCCTTTAAAGCTTCTCTAGTGAGTGGAGGTGGCTGGTTGTACTCCTATATAGCCATCTGACTGACAAGGGACCTGCACTCATCCTGCTGGTTGAGGCAAATGGCATAGAGTACGTTCCTGACATCTGCTGAAGTGGAGAGGTCGCTGCAGAAGTAGCCATGTCGCCTACAGTAGCTGCTGCCGCTGCTACCTTCTTAACCTGAAAAAAACGTACGTACCTTGTATACGAATACAACGTACGGGGTACGCTATATTCGAATACAACGTACGTACGTTATAGAATGAGTTTTAGGGTAAAAAAAAAAAAAAAGAATGAGTTTAAGGGTACAACTTTTCAGAAGCCTGTAGTACCGCCATTGTTTTTATTTTTATCTCAAATTTGGTTGGGAATTTCGCCAAGACCCTCAGGCAAACGTTGTTTGCATTGCAGTGTTGTACAACATACTTTTTTTTCGGATTTTTTACTGAAGTTTTTTTTTTTTAATCGAAATTCTGAAAAAAACAGTAAAAAACATTTTCATCCTCGTTTTTATTTTTTTCTCGAATTTTCTCATGAATTTCGATAAGACCATCAGGCAAACGTTGTTTGTATTGCATTGCTGTATAACTTTTTTTTTTTTCGGATTTTTTAAATTATTTTTTAAAAATCAAAGTTCCAAAAATTCGAATACAACATAGTAACATACGTATTACGTACGGTATATTCGAATAGAACTTTGAACGTACGTTCTATTCGGGGAAAAACAAGCGATTTCTGAAAACCCAATTTCCAGAGGTAATTCGAATAGAACGTATGTACGTTTTTTTGGGGTTAAGAAGGTAGCGCTCGCTCAGCTGCTGCTGCTGCCTCCCTAGCCCTCCACAAACGATGGGCAGCACCCACTGCATGCAATTGCCTTTCTCCCCCTGGCGGTAAGGCCTGATACACATACAACAGCCTACAAGCCGTCCGTCGTGTCACTATCATGTGATCAGCTCTCCCCTCCTCACCACGATGTCCTCTCATCAGCTAGAGCAGACCACTGTCTGCACTAGTGTCCTCGCTGGGACCTACCACAACATGTGTCTGACTGAGTTGCGAAATAAATAAATAAATATTCGGTAAGTCACCCAGCCTACCGTTCAGGTGCTGTGAAAAGAATGTACACAGACTGAGCAAATGATCTTATTCCTTCTTCGATCAGTCCTCAAACAGCAGCAGTAAACAGAACTGCAAATGGCAGACTGCTACAGTTCTAATCTACAACTGTCTGTCAGGTGTCAGCAGTCTGTAACAGCTCAACTAATCAAAAATAAAATAAATCGCTTGCGCAGATGCATGCAGAATGGAAATAATAGTAATAATAATAATTGAGCACCAATTGGAGCCTTCCCTCCCCTGTATCCGACACCCTGATTGCATCAACAGAGCAGCGGTGTCTATGGTGTGCACAATGGGCGACCGCTGTGCCCAGGTAATGAAGAGCAAGCCAGCCTCGTCCTTACTATTTTTATCATCGCATACTGTGAGAGTCGGTTTCCCCCCTGGAGTACCCTTAACGACGGTACAGTGCATGTCGATCCCCCATAAGGCTGGCAAGCCCAACACCCCTCTATGTGCAGCAAGAGCCCAAAGGACAATGCAGCAAAGCATGCGTGCTCCACTCCCTTGGGTTGGCATGGTGACCGTGACCCGTACTTCGTCCAGGACCCTTGAGAGGCACCGCCCTCTCCCACCAGATGCACCACCAGGAAGAATGTCGAATCTCAAGGTAGAGCGCTCAGGACTCCTGAACCAGAAGAGGACTCTCAAGCCAAACTCTCTTCCTCACAGTAAGAAGAGGTCTAGATGGAGAGATAAGGTAAGGAATAACGTACCTGAAGATAGCTTCCCCCAACCACAGATTTCTCACCAATTAAGCCGACGTGCATTTTGATGACCGGTCATAGCCTCGGTAGCACACACAATGAAATGCAGTGCCATCTCAGCCAAAATGCCACGTCAGCAAGCCCTCATCATTCCACAGACACCTGTTTTAGCCACAGCCTTCCGGTCCCACTCCCCTCTACCCAGGAGGGAGCCAATCAGCCAGTGTCAAAGTATCCTTACTGCGGAGAAGCTTCGTCAGCGCACCAAGTAACCAAGACACCAGCGCCAAAACCAGCTCTGATACCAAATTGTACGGAAAATGAGCGAGAACGATAGAAAGAAAAGCAAAGTGCAATATCACACCGATGACCAGATAGCCGTGTACCAAGCAGAAAGCACAATGTACTGAGATACAGGCCAGATAAGAGCAATACAATGAAGTCAAATGTCAATCTCGACACTCTCTCGCCACACCAACATAGTATCTATCCAATGTTGCTCTTCTTGATTGGCACTCAGCGCCCAGCCTATCCTACTCAGCTACTATCTAGCTTACCACTACGTATATGCAGCGGGAGTCACTTCAAGCTGAAGACCAATGTACTTCACGACATCACCATTGTAGACTGCCAGCATACACCAGGTACATGTCTCTTCTCCCTCTCCTGCCTCACCTCCTTCTCCCCCACATGTGCGCCCTCATCCTGAAGACCACCATTGCCAGTACCAGCCTGCACCCCGAGCAGCCTCGCTATGGCCGCCGTGCGCCCTCTGCCTTAGCAGCGCCCACCACCTCTGTAAGCTCCGCGTGCGCTCTGACCCGTCAGCGCCCTGGCCGCCCGCTCGCGCAACAATGCAGCAGCGTGGCTGCAATGCCTGCCAGGCCAGAATGTGCCCTGGCTGGGTGTCGCACTTTCCTATATGGAAAGTGCAGCCCAGTGTCTGGCCTGGGCCTGGCGTGCGTGTGCCCAGTAGCTTCACATTGGGCCAAAGTGTCTGCGCCTAGGCCCATTCAGACAGTTGCCTGGGCCTGCAGCAGTTAAGCTGCACAACTGTGCGGGGTGGCTGCTGTCACTCGCTGCTCTCTCATCGGCCATCGGGCCTCCAGCCACATCGTTGCTTGCTTCTCATTGGCCGATAGCCTCTTGCCACGTCGCTGGTGGAGTGAGCCCAGAGGCTCAGAATGTTGTGCTCACACAAGCGTGGCCCTGTAACCAACTGGCACATGGTAACTGTGTGGCGCCCCGCAATGCAGAATTGACAAAAATAGGGGCCCGTGTCTGAAATCAGGCCCGCCTTCACTTAGGGTGGGCAATCTGCTTGCTGGGGCCCCGTAGGGCATCGGGAGGCAGCGACCTAGCGGCCAATGTGAGGGCTCGTTCCTCGCAGTAGCTGCCATTGTATTTGCTGGCCCCTGAGATGTCACTTGGATCCCCAGAAACCTTAAACCACCAGTACCTTGCCCAGGCAAACTTGAGAATCGAAATTGACCCAAAGGTCCCAAACCGAAAATTTCGGAGGCTTGCGGCTACCTGACCAACATGGCTGGCGGCGCCAGCCAAAAGGAAAACAATGCCGCGCTGGTGTTTCGACAAAGCTTGGTGCGCATGGGGAATCTGCCTTGGGGAAAAGAGGCTCGAAGTTACTGGTGGTTTAACGGCAACCTTGCGCTCAGTAACAAAGCCCCTTATTGTTCTCCCTAGGGAAGTGTTCGAACGCCTCCCGAACATCGGTATCTTTTCTTCGTTGAAGCAAAACAAGATGCAAAAATATGGAACGGAGAAACTCCTCGAAAACGACAAAAAGTGGTATTTCGTGTTTGATTATTGCCCTTACAATTCAAAGAAAAGGCAAAGTTTGGTCATTATCCTGGAACCTGCCCCGCACTAAGCAGCTTTGGTTTTACTCATCAAGTTCCATCACCCGGATTCCAACGCGAGTCGTCAGCAGTTCATGGGTGTACGGTGTACCCACTGCGCTAGGCTCTTGAGAGTGAGTGATCTACAGAGACTTTACAAATTGGAGTTGCATTGCAGGATGTCAATGAAGCATGCCACTGCACAAAAACCTACCTGACCTGCGGCCCTCTCATTTGGCCTGCCAGTCTGGTCATTTTTAAGAAGAGAGACACAAATGGATGACCCATGGGAAACAGTATTTCAGTTGGCGGATCTTGATCATGATGGCAAAATCAATGGCCAAGAAGCCGTCAAGTTCTTCCCAAGAGTGAACCTCCCACAGAGTGTTCTCGCCCAAATTTGGTCGTTTGCGGATCGGCACCAGAATGGCTTCCTTACCAAGCCAGAATTCTTCACTGCCCTGCAGCTGGCAACAGTGGCACAAGCAGGACAGCAAGTGACAAAAGAAGTCGCTCAAGCCGTCATATCTGGGGCGATAAAGAACATCAAGCCTCCAAGGTTGGTAGGGATCACAATTCCTGCCTTCCCGCCGAAAGAATCATCACCTGTGGTCCCTCCAACAGCAGGGGCAGAGGAATATGGAACACCAGCTCCGGGGGTCTCTACGATGGGACTTGGTGTACTGTGTACAACCACCACCACATCGAGGAGTGGTGCCAGAGGACAAAGTGACTCTTCTCGAGCACAGGGAGCCATTGATGGCGAAATAAGATCAGCTGCCCATGGCCGGCATGACGGAGGAGCAGGGGTCGAAACAAGTGCTCCCAGTGGCATGAACGGTGGATCTACCATGACAGAAAGGGATATCAGATATGGAGGAGGACCCAATCTAACCAGGATCAGCGAGCCTAAGGCTGTTGCCATGGGAGTTGCGCACGGAGGTGGAAATGGATGGGCTCCAGGAGTACAACAAACATCCACTCAGGTAAAACCGGCTGGAAAAGAGAGTGCAGCCCCACCAGCCGTCATTGCCAGCCAGTTGGAACAGCAACAGCCTGTCCGCAATGGCCACAAAGTCATCACTGCCATGCCACAGAATGGGGTATCAGTGAATTCAGCTCCAGGTTCTGTTGGGGTAGCTGGCAGAGATGATGGTTTCCATAGCATGGATGTGTCAGGAGTGAAGGGGCGGCGAGAGACCAGACGTCGAAAGGGTTCGCCAGGTGGAAGCAGCCTCCTCAAGGCGGTTCTGACACATAACCTGAGCCCTTCTCGAAGTCCGAGGCGTAGCACGAAGGCAAAACAACCGGAAGCAGCTACGGGAATTGCCAGCGACTTCACTAACATCCCAGTGGCTGATGGAAGAACACACGTGTTGGTGCCTAGCATGTCTCCCGAAACAGACAAAAGGAGCAAAAGCGCCCCTCAGAGTCCTACGAGATCACTACTGCGAGACCTGGACAGTCCTGAAAGTGTGCAAATGGGGGGCAGTAACATAGGAAGAGTAGAAGGCACAGCGACGATTCGGAACAGCCAAACAGTTCCCAGCAACCTTGACTCCTTATTGGGGAGTACCCAGAGCAGCTCTCACGTAGAGAGTCAAAGCACCGTCAGGCATAGTGACAGTGTTTCTCTGACAAAGAAGATAGCATCAGTGAACTCTTCCTCATTGCCAAGCGGTGAGAGCAGAGGGAGTGCAGCAGCAGATGTGCAGCAGCAGACGTGGATTGCGCTGGGAGGCCAAGGAACCTCCAGAGAGGGGTCCGTGGGCACCTGTAGGGCAGGGATAGGCGGAACAGAACCATGTCCTGCCAGTGCTGGTGTGGAGTTTACCTCCAGCGGAGATGATTTCGCAGGGGGTGCATCTCATTCCAAACCTGTTAGAGAAGCAGCTGCTTCTAGGGAAGGAACTGCAGGCTTGTCGGAGTGGACGTCGGCATCAGACCCAGCGGCGATGCTAGGCAGTGCCGTGGACGTCCATCAATCCTCTGGCAGCTCAGGCGGCCCGACTGTTGTGCACATCTTCGAAGGCGATGGGTTTCCTGCAGCCCCTTCTAGTGGCACCAGCTCAGAAAAAGTCGATTCAGCATCAGATGCAAACTTGAAGAAGTCACATTCCAGTCCATCCTTGGCCGACGGAAGGCATGTGTTTGAGCTTAACATGCCTGCATCCTTATCCATGGACGCAAGGTTGCAGTCAGAACCCACTGCCGGACAAGGAGGTTTGACCCCTGCCAGGGGAATGACTCATCAAAGTGAGTTAAAAGGGGCCCCCGGCCTCGGATTGCCAGCATCAGAGGTAGGAGGGAGTGCAATTACACCTGGTGGATGGCAGCCCACATTGGTCGTAATGCTTGGGTGGCCTCAGATGACTGCAGTTGATGAGCAGAGGTACCTTAAGATCTACAGCTCATTGGGTCCTGATCACAATGGGATGATTTCCGGTCAGAAGGCAAAGGACCTCCTCATGAGCTCGCAGTTGCCACGGGAAGTTCTAAAGCATGTGTGGGATCTGGCAGATGAGGATGAAGATGGCATGCTGACAAGTAAGGAGTTCTGCATTGCTCTGTACTTGGTGGAGAGGGCCCGTGAGGGTAGGTCATTGCCTCTGACTCTCCCATCTGGAATTCATCATGATGATTCACCGTTCCACCCTCGCCATCAAGTTGTGGTTAATACACAGATTGCTGAAGCACACACAAGCACATCCACAGGGTTGGCCAATGCCAAGAAGCCATCTCAAGAAACAGGACCACCAACACAGACAGCTGTCCCGAGAGACGGTATGCGCTCAGCGCTGAACCAAGCGGCAGCTAACACGCAAGAACAACCTCGGCTCCTGGCGCAGCAGCAGCAGCAAGACCACAAGCAGCAGCAACAGGAGGATTTTGGCCAGCAGCAGAGAATTGAGATAACTCAAGCACCCTCCAGAGAAGATCTGAGAAGAAGCATGCTGCAGCACACAGAGAATGCAGCTGAAGGGCTTCTGACTCCTGGTGCAGTCAGACTTGCGAGCAATGACTTCTCAAGGCAAGAATTAGGTAGCTTTCTGAATATAGCCAGTGCCAATGTGAACTCCGTCGGTATGGCTCTCCCTCGTGTCAATGGGATTACCCCTGGCTCTGTTGCTCAGCACATTCCAGCAGTTTACCAGCCCAATCTGTCGTCTGCCCCGGAAACACATCTCGCCAATCAGCTGGGCAGGAATGATCACGAGGCACTTGCAACAAGGCACAACGAAATGGAGGAGCTCAGCACATCGACACGGCAAAAAAATCAGCCCACGAGTGTGAAGAAACGGGCAGACTATTACGAGGAAAAAATGCAAGAGATAGTTCTATTCAAGAGGAGATGCTGGGACAAGCTTGTGCAGATTGAAGGCCAGATAGAGCAGGAGAAGCGAGATGTCGCGGTTCTTGCGAGAAACTACGACGAAAAGTTCAGACAAACGGAGGCTGCAAACTTGCAAGCTCTGGCATTCGAGGCAAGGCTGAAAAGTCTGGCTAAACAGAAGATAGCACTGCAGGACTCGATCAACCACCTCCACAATCCCACAGATTCAAAATCGTCACTACAGGCGCGGGTCAACCAACTGGTATCCGAATTGGATGAGCTCCGGTCTGATGTTATGCTTCGTGTCATGCGGTCAAGGCTCAAAGTCAAAGCTGCACCGCCTGTGGAATCGACGTGTGGGTGGCAGTTTGAAACTGGAATGCAAGGGAACACATGTGAGTGGGAAGGAGAATGGGCATACTTCAAAAATGAGGGACTCATCTCTGCCGTTGATGACATTGAGGACCGGTCTGTGAGCATCGTTGAAACCGGCACTTGCGCCGTCAGAACAGACTCATTTGGAGTTACTCCTAGGCTGCATAATAACTGGAGAAGCGTCCCTAGTTCCACTCCCCTGCCATGGCGGGAAACGCTGCCTCAAGCTGGGATGGACCCCGTCCAAGGATGGATGAGATTTTGGACCTCGGCAAGAGCGGAGGCGACTTTGGCAAGGAAGGATTTGGGGGAAAAAGTGGCCTTGAGGTGTTTGGGTCACCCGCAAATTCATGCTTGCTCTCATCGGGGGCGTCATCTTCAGGACACAACGCGCCTGTGGTGACTGAGGTGCTCTTAGCAAGGAGGGAAAGTAATGCCTCGGAATCTGGGATATTCCAGCAGATGGAATCATCTAGACGGAGTCAAACGGTGGGACAAGATCCAGAGAGCAGGAACAACATAGCCTCCAATCTTGGATGGGTGTGGCCCACAGGACGTGCTGAGAGCGGTAGGTCAAGTCAGCTTCCACCTTATCCCAACTCAAGGCATGCTGGGGCAGCAGAACTGCAAGACCTTGAAACAAGTGTGGGCAAAGACGGCACATCCATCTCATCATCACAGTAGGTGACCAGCTTTGTTACAGCTGCAGCAGGCAGTTCAGGCGCTAATGCCAAGGCGCTGCAGGGAGGAGATTTGGGCTCGGTAGGAGGCGCCAAAGACAGTGGCGCTGAAGGCCTTGGCAGCAGGTGGCACACATCAAACCCTTCGGCAGTTGCCACCAGCTTCGGCGAGGAGCATATCGATAGCAGCATGAGGGCCTCGTGGGGCTTGCGGCCTGCTGCAGCAATTACGGTTGCTCCCTCTGTGGCTACACGTGCTGGTGGAGTTGGTAATGAAATAGGTACCATGCATGGCACAAGGCAGCAGTTGCATCCACATTTGCTACCAGCACCTTTGGATCATCCTAGCCTCGTGTCCACCAGCTTCCAAGGCACAGTAAACACTGATTGGGTCCCGGTCCCAAGCACAAGCCCACAGGTGGTTACAACAGCCAAATAATACGAAGGCGGCCAGTACAATGACCGTCTTGCATCTGCAACTATGTCTACAAATAAAGTCATGCGTCTGAAGCAGGAAAACCAGAGGCAACAACAGCAGCAGCAGCCGCAACAACAACAATACCCGCAACAACCACAACAACAGCCGCACCAACAACGACAACAGAACCAACAGCAACAGCAAAAGCAGTCACAAGCTCTGTCAAGTCCGAGCACACAAGCGCTGCCACCTGCTGATCCCTTTGCATACATAGGAATTGATGTTGCCAGGGATACCGAAAAGTGGAAGAAAAATGGAAACCGATCAGAAGTTTGCGGATGTCCCAGTCTCAGTCCCAGTCCCAGTCTCGTCGGGCCCACTGGATGAGACAGCGGTAGCTCCGAAGTCGACAGAAAACTTGTGGCACCCGTTTTCGTGATTTGATTGGTTGGTAGAGCATTTGGTCTTTTCTGTTAACTGCCATCTTCACCCAAATAGAACGCAACGCACCGTCATTATAGCTATATTTTTGGTGCAACTTGTGTAACTTTTGGTCTAGATACAGGAATAAGGGCATACTCACACTAGGGGTCTAATTCTCAAAATCGCAAAATCTGCTGTTCTTTTGCAGTCACACATTATCCCCGCCCCCAGCAAAATCACAAATCATGTAGTATTTGTCAGCGGCCTGCTGGCCTGCCGGGTGCAGCAAATTGTGAGGACCTCTAGAGGTCCTAGCAAATTCACAACTCATTTTCTGGATTAAAAAAACAAAGGAGAAAAACTTGGTGGGCAATATTATTGCCAATATAACTCTTTTTTTTTCCCTACAAAAAGCTGCCTTCTCCTCATCGGGGGACAGCCATATATTTTTCTCTCACCTGTTACATGCCCAGTTGGGCGATGTTACCGATGTACATAATAACCAAGGATCCGCAATGTGATGAAAAGGACTGAATGGACAATGCAGTGCAAGTGAAATCTCAACGAGCAGTGTACACTCTGATACATACAAAATGGTGCTTTACAGCGCCGTGGAAGACTTAGATACAAGTCCTGACCTGACCAGGACTGGCCTCGTTCATGTAGTACAAGATAGCGAAGCAGAAGGCTAGAATACTAATGATGAGCCCAATCAATGTCGCAATGCAGACTAAACATACATCATTTTCACCACAAGGTGCGAAGGGGCCTGGCGGTATACACAGGAAGAGGGTCCAGGTCCAGCCATGCACAGACGAAGAGGAGGGGATCAGACGAAGAGGAGGG